GGAATAAATCCCTTCTTGGGGGGAAATAAATCCCTTTTTAGGGGAAATGAATCCCTTCTTGGGGGAATAAATCCCTTCTTGGGGGGAAATAAATTCCTTTTTGGGGGAATAAATCCCTTCGGGGGGGATAAATACCTTCTGGGCGGAATAAATCCCTTCTTGGGGGGAATAAATCCCTTCTTGGGGGAATAAATCCCTTCTTGGGGGGAAATAAATCCCTTTTTGGGGGAATAAATCCCTTTTTGGGATGTTTTGGGTGAAAAAAATCCTTTTTTGGGGGAAAAAAATCCCATTTCTAAGGGAAAAAAGCCCTTTCTGAGGGGAAAAAAATACCTCTTTTGTGGGGAAAAATGCCTTTTTGGAGGGAAAAGATCACTTTTTTGGGGAATACCGTTTTTGGGTGAAAAAATCCCTTTTTGGTGGAAAAACCCCCATTTTTGAGGGAAAAAAAAAACCCTATCTAGTGGGAAAAAATCCTTTTTTGATGGAAAAAAATCCATTTTGGGGGAAACAAGGCCCTTTTTGGGGCATTTTGGGAGAAGAAAATCCCATTTTTGAGGGAAAAAGCCTTTTGGAGGGGAAGATCACTTTCTGGGGGGAGAAAATACCATTTTGAGACATTTTGGGGAAAAAAATCCCATTTTGGGGGGGAAACAGTCCCTTTTGGAGGAGAAACTACCGTTTTTGAGGAAAAATGCCTTTTATGATACATTCCTGAGGGAAAAAAAATCTCATTTTGGGGAAAAAAAACCTTTTTTGGGGCATTTTGGAGGAAAAATCCCTTTTTGGAGGGGAAAATTGCTTTTTTGAGGGAAAATGTCCTCTTGGGCCATTTTTGAGGGAAAAATCTGTTTCATTGGGGTATTTTTGAGGAAAAAAGTCCCTTTTTGGGGAAAAATCCCTTTTGGGAGAAAAAAATCCCTTTTTTGGAGGCAATTTGGGGAAAAATCCCTTTTTGGGGAAAAAAAACACTTTCTGGGGGATAAAAGCCCCTTTTTGGTGCTTTTTTGGCTGCTCCCACCTGAGTTGTGAGGGTGGAGCAGGCTTTGGCCTGTCCTCAAATGAAATTATTCAGTTGGTAAATTGTTAAATTATTAATTGTTAAATTGCTGAATTCTGCAGTTTCTACATACAGAAAAACCCCTGAGGAGTTAATTGTTGCTGTTAATTAATGAATTCCTGCTGTTAATTAATTAATTGTTGTTGTTAATTATTTAATGGTTACTGTTAATTAATTAATTGTTGCTGATAATTACTGAATTCCTGCAGTTAATTACTGAATTTCTGCAGTTAAATACTGAATTTCTGCAGTTAATTAATGAATTCCTGCAGTTAATTAATGAATTTCTGCAGTTAATGATGAATTTCTGCAGCTAATATTGAGTTCCTGCAGTTAATTAATGAGCTGTTGTTAATTGCGGGTGTGTGCCGTGCCAGGGCGGGGCAGTGAGGAGGTGAAGCCGTGCGAGAGGAGCTCGGACCGGCGCTGCCAGTGCCGGGCGGGGTTCGCGCCCAGCGGGAATGCTGAGGGGAGCGGTGAGTGGGGATCGGGATCGGCGGGAATGCTGAGGGCAGCGGTGAGTGGGGATCGGGATCGGCGGGAATGCTGAGGGGAGCGGTGAGTGGGGAATTCTCAGGAATGCTGAGGGCAGCGGTGAGTGGGGATCGGGAATCTTCGGGAATTCCCATCTGCCAGGGCGGGGAGCCCTGCGGGCAGCGGTGAGTGGGGAATCCTCGGGGATCCTGAGGGTGGGGATCAGGAATTCCCATCTACCAGTGCTGGACGGGGTTCGCGTGCACCGGGACTTCGGAGGGGAGCGGTGAGTGGGGATGGGAACCCTCAGGAAGTTGGGATAGGGAATTCCTTGGGAAGGGGTGAGTTGGGATTGGGAATTCCCATCTGCCAGCGCTGAGAGGGATTTGTGCCCGCCAGGATTCCCGAGGGCAGTGGTGAGTGGGGATGGGGAAGAGTTGGGATCAGGAATCCCTTGGGAAGGGGTGAGTTGGGATTGAAAATTTCTTATGAAGGGGTGAGTCTGGGATGTGCCAGCTGGAATTCCCTTTGGAATTCTGGGATGTGCCGCCTTCCCAAAATCCTTCCTCCCATATGGGAATTCCCACTGGAAAAGCTGCTCAGCCTTTGCTGAGGGCTCCACACAAGGGGTAAAAAATCCCTGTGGAATTCCTGGCTGAAATTGTGAGATCCCTGGGTAACTGCTGGAATCCAGAATCCTGGATAATGCTGAGCTCAGACCCAGCCTTTTGATCCTGTTTTTCCCAGAGTGCTCCCGATGTCCTGAAGGAACTTTCTCCAGAGGAGGGAACGAGAACTGCCAGCCTTGGACCAAGTAGGGATCCCTTTCTGGGGAAAAATCCCTTTTATGGGGGGGAAATCCCGATTTTGGGGGGAAAAGTCCCTTTTTTTGGGGAAAAAAAAACTTTTTTTAGGGGGGGAAAAAATCCCTTTTATGGGGGAAAGAATCCTTTTTGGGGAAAAAATCCTTCCTGGAGGAAAAAGTCCTTTTTTGGAGGAAAAAATCCCCTTTTATGTGAAAAAAAATCCCTTTTTAGGGGCAATGTGCTCAAAGCGGCTCTGGAGGTTTAATTTTTCCAGGAAAAGCCCAAATCTGGAGAAATACATCAGAATAAACCCAGATTTAAGTTCCCCTGAATCCCATCCTTTGGGAATTTGAAAATCCCAAAAGAATTTTTAAGAATTTTCCACCCTTTTTAAAAAAACTTTGGATATTTTTTTTGGGAGCAAAAAATTCCCGTGTCAGAATCAGCTCTGGGAAAATCCCAGGCTGGTTTTTCCCAGCGATTCCTTGGATCGATGGAATCATTCCCGGAGGATGTAGGGATGGGAAATGCCGAATTTGCAGGGATAAAAGAAGGTTTGGGATCGTTGTGTAGGTGGGATCTGGGAGCTGTTGGAAAACCCTCGGGGATTCCTTTTCCAGCTGCAGCTTTTTTGGGAAGAGCACGCTCCGAGCTGGCTCGGCAACGGAGGATGCCCTGTGCAGCAGCCCTGGCCTGGATCCCATTCCCACGGGATTCCTGGAAAACAGGGATCCCGTTCCCACGGCGTTCCCGGAAAACAGGGATTCCGTTCCCACAGCATTCCCAGAGAGCAGCTCCAACACGTCCGGTCCCAGGGAGATTCCCGCGGTTTGTCAGAATCCCGGCAGCCCCGCGGAGCCTGGCTGGGGTAAGGCTGGGGAGGGAATTCCTGGATTCACACCAGTTCCAGGATCCCACATTTCCAGCTGCAGCTGCTTTCCCGGGAAGGGAATTCTCACTTTCTCTGAAGCCATTCCTGCATTTCCCACCACATTCCAGGATCCCACATTTCCAGCTGGGCATGGATTTCCATCCAAGTCGTCTTTCCTGGGAAGGGAATTCCCACTTTTCCCAAAGCCATTCCTGGATTTCCCACAGCATTCCAGGAGCCCACCTTTCCAGCTGCAGCTGCTTTCCCAGGAAGAGAATTCCCACTTTTTTCAAAGCCTTTTCCCACAGCATTCCAGGATCCCACATTTCCAGCTGCTTGGTTCCCACCTGGAGCTGCTTTCCTGGGAGCTGAAATCCCGTTTTTCCAGAATTCCTTCCTGTTGTTTACACAACCTTTCAGTGAGCCACAGAATTCCAGATTTCCGGACTCTGGGAGCTGAATTCCCACTTTCTCTGAAGCTTTTTCAACAAACCCTTTCAGAATTCCACATTCCCAGCTGCTTGTTTTCCATGTAAAACTGCTTTCCTGGGAGATGAAATCCCATTTTCTCTGGAGCCTTTTCCTCAAAACCTCTCTGGATCCCACATTTCCATCTGGAGCTGCTTTCCCAGGAAGGCAATTCCTGGATTCACACCAATCCCAGGATTCCACATTTCCAGCTGAAGCTGCTTTCCTGGGAACTGAATTCCCACCTTTTCTGAAGCCATTCCTGCATTTCCCACAGTATTCCAGGATCCCACTTTTCTGGCAACTTGGTTCCCACCTGGAGCTGCTTTCCCAGGAAGGGAATTCCCATTTTTCCCAAAGATTTTCCTGTTTCTGACCTTTCCTGGATCCCACATTTCCAGCTGGGCAGGGATTTCCACCTGGATCTGCTTTCCTTGGAATTCCCAATTTCTCAGAAGCCAGACCTGGATTTCACAAAACTTTGGGATTTGCAATTTCCAGCTGCTCGGTGTCCATGTAAAACTGCTTTCCTGGGAAATCAAATCCCGCTTTTTCCGAAGCTGTTCCTGGATTTCCCACAGCATTCCAGAATCCCACATTTTAATGGCAGCTGGATCTCTCCATTTCCAGAGTTCTGGATTCTCCCTCTGGAATCTGCAACGCTCTGGGAGCTCCAAACAAAACCAGGAATTTTTTATTTTTTTAGAGAATTTTTCCTCTCTAATTCCAGGTTCTTTGTCCCTGTTCCTGCTGTGCCTGGTCCTGCTGACGGTGAGCGGAATTTCCATCCTGCTCCTGCTCATCCAGGCAGCCCGGAAAAAAACCAGGAATGGGCCTGGGAGGAGCATCCAGCACAGTGAGTTCCCTTTGTTTTTACGGAATTAAAAAAAAAAAAAAAAAAACAGGAAAAAAACCCGAATCCCCTGTTTGGAATGTGGTAATTAAGAAAATAATTAATTAGGAATGCAGGGAATTCCAGAGGGTTGATCCAGGTTTAGTCCTGATTAAGAGCTCAGCATCCCAAATTTTCGTTCCTTCGTGGAGAGTAATCTCCTTCATCACCTTAATCCCTGAATTTCCCGATTTTATGCCAGGAATTCTCTTCCTGGCAGGATCCAGAGGCAAATTCCAAAAGTAAAATGGGGATTTTATTTTTGCCTCCATGGAACTGGAATGCTCTGAATTCCCCTGCAAACTTGGAAAGGTCTGGCTGAGAAGAGCTGAGCTCTAAAACAGGGGTTCAGCGGCAAAACTGAGCCTAAAGTGGGGGTTGAGTGACAAAACTGAGCCTAAAATTTGGATGCAGTGGCAAAACTGAGCCTAAAACCAGGATTGAGTGGAAAAACCAATCCTAAAGCTGGGATTGAACGGCAAAACTGCGTGTAAAATTGGGATTCAGTGGCAAAATGGAGCCCAAAACTGGGATTGAGTGATAAAACTGAGCCTAAATTTGGATTCAGTGGCAAAACTGAGCCTAAAACCGGGATTGAGTGGCAGCTGCCTCCTGTCCTGTTCCCAGGGAATATCCCAGTGCATTCTCTCTGATCCCAGCCTTGGGCATTCCCTGGAAAGCCAAAGCTGGCCCAGAACCCCCAGGCCCTTCCTGCTTCCTCCCTCGGCGCTGATTCCTGGCACAATTCCCTGTTTTCCAGAGGAGGGGAGCTGCCGGATTCCTGTCCAGGAGGAGCACCTGGACCCCAATTCCAGCCTCACCAAGAACTGATGCCGTTCCCAGCCCTTCCTGGCCTCTCAGAGCCCGGGAATTCCTGAGGAGTTAATTGGAGGCCGCTTGAACCCTTCCATTAACTCAGCGTCTCCCTTGGGAATTTGGGAGAATTCCCGAGGGAATTCTGGGGGGAGTTTTCCCCCCTTTTTGGGCGAATCCTTGCTCAGATCCCTGAAAATGTTCTGGGGATGAATTTCTGCTGGAATTCCCAGCTGGGAAATCATGGAAATCCCGGAGCAGGTGAAACCTGGAACGGCTCCGGGAAGAGAAAATCCTTGGATGCTCCTGCTGAGGGGAAAATGGGAATTCTCAACCCAATCCTGGGATTTTGGGGTTGGATTTGAACCCAGCTTGTGCTGCCTAAACCTGGGCTCAGTTTGGGGCCCAGAGCTGCAGAAATCTTGGGCTGAGCACTTCAAATGCCCCAGGTTTGATGGAAAAAAGGAATTTTACTCCTTTAGAGGTTTAAAATCCTCTCATATTTCATGAAAAAAAAATTAATTTTATTCCTTTAAAGGTTTCAAGTCCTCTCAAATTTAATGGAAAAATGAATTTTATTCCTTTAAAGGTTTAAAATCCTCTCATATTTCATGGAAAAAATGAATTTTCCTTCTTTAAAGGTTTGAAATCCACCCAAATTTTATGGAAAAAAAAGAATTTTTTTTTTAAGGTTTAAAATCTCCTCATGTTTCATGGAAAGAAATGAATTTTATTCCTTTAAAGGCTTAAAATCCACCCAAATTTTATGGAAAAAAATGATTTTTATTCCTTTAAAGGTCTCAAATTCCCAGATTTTGGGACAATCAGGATTTGGTGGCAGCTCCTCCCACACTTCCCAAAACGACTTTTCCTTCTCTGCTTCATTTGCCACAAATTTGGATTTTTCAGGACTTTTCCCAACCTCTGGAAGGTTTGGGAGGAGCCCGAAGATTCCTTTGGCTGAATTTCAAAGATTTCCATGGAAATCCAAGGAAAAATGGAATTTTTTCTCATTTGGGAGGGATTTTCCCTCAGAAACTTGGCAAAAACCGGGAATTTTACCCAAATGGCACTGAGAATATCCCAGAAATTCCAGCTGGGAATGGGGATAGCGGAGGTGTTCAAATCCATGGATTTGGAATATTTGGGAATTGTATATGTCATACATATCCGGGGTTTATACCGTGTATAGGAATGTTTGTATCGTCTACGGGAATCTGGGAATAAAAGTCTGGAAAAGCGATCCCGGTGTGGCCGGGGAAAGGTGGGAAAACTCCTGCGGGAGCCGGGACGGCCGGGGAGGGAGGGGGAGATTTCTGGGAAAGGCTGGGATGGGGTTTTGGGAAGATGGGATGGGATGGGAAAGATCGGGATCAATTTTAGGGAAAGGCTGGGATGGGTTTTAGAGAAAGGCTGGGATGGGTTTTTGGGAGAGGTTGAAATGGATTTTTGGAAAGGGTGGGAAGGAGTTTTGGGAAAGGTTGGGATGGAATTTTGGGACAGAGAGAAGTTGGGATGGGTTTTAGGGAAAGGCTGGAATGGATTTTAAGGAAAAGTTGGGATGGAGTTTTGGGAAAGGTTGGGATGGATTTTTGGGAAAGAGGGAGGATGGGATGGATTTTAGGGAAAGGTTCTTTCCAGAAGGTGGCTGGGATGGATTTTTGGGAAAGAGGGAAGTTGGGATGGAGTTTTGGGAAAGGTTCTTTCCAAAGAAGGAAAGGTCCTTCCAGAAGGTGGCTGGGATGGGTTTTCGGGAAAGGTTCTTCCCCCAAGGGAAGTTGGGATGGATCCACATTTCCAGGTTTCCCAGGAATGATCTGAACTTCGTCATTTTTAAAATCCACCTGGAAAAATGAGCAGGGAGCAAAGGGCCCCTCCAGAGAGGAAAATTCCATGGGGTGAGAAGGAAAATTCCACAGTGTGGGGATAAAAATTCCACAATCTGGGAATGGAAATTCCAGGGTGTGCAAATGGAAATTCCATGGTGCAGGGATAAAAATTCCAGAGTGTGGGAATGGAAATTCCGCAGTGCGAGGATAAAAAACCCAGGGTGTGGGAATGGAAATTCCAGAGTATGGGGTGAAAATCCCCCCAGACCTGGGCCTGGCTGGGGCTCCGAGCCGGGCCTGGCTGGGGCTCTAAGCCGGGTCTAGCTGTGGCTCTAAGCCGGGCCTAATCACTCCATGCTGGCAGCGATGCTTGCGGAGCAGGAGCAGCCGGGGCTCCCCGTTGCAGCCCATCGGAGCCCAGAGACGGCGGAAGCGCTGTGGGGAGCACTCAGAGCGCCCGGCCAGGGCAGGGGAGGTGGGGAAGGTTCCAGAAGCGCTGACGCTCCTCACGGTCATTTCCTTTGGGGTTTTGGAGTGGTTTCCTTCCTTTTTTGGGAGTGGTTTCCTTCGGTTTTCTCCGAAATTCCGTCGTTTGCCGGGCGGAAAGGAAGCGGGGGGAATGTGGGCAGCCAAGGGGAATTCCCAGGAATTCTTCGGGTTGGAAAAGCTCTGCAGGATCAGGGTCCAACCTGGGAATGATCCTCACCCTGAGTGCCACATCCAGGAATTCCCTGGAAACCTCCAGGATGGGAATTCCCCCCCTTTTCCAAGGTTTGGTCCCTTTTTCCATGAGGCAATCCCACCCGGAGCTCCCCTGGCACCATCTGAGGCCATTTCTCCTCACCTGTCCCAGAGCCCAACTCCTCTTTGACTCCAAGCCCCAAATTCCTCAAATATTCCTTGGAATGTGTCTCTGGATGAGGATATTCCCATCTGTTTTCATGGATAAGGCTCCAAGAATCCACAGATTGTTCCCCAAATCCCACCCTCGCGGGTTTTGGTACCCCAGGGTGTGGGAAAGGGATGAAATCCATGATGTTTTTCCCTCTTTTCCATCCCAGTTTTGAATATATGGTTGGAATTTGCCCTGAGAGATGAATTTTTCCTAGGGGAAAGCAGGGATGTGATCAGTACGGTTTTTGGGAAGGATCCCGGAATTTTGGTGGATTTGGGGTGAGGATTTCACTCCAGATTTCTGGGACTGTCCCATTTCTTGTGATTTTCCTCATGGAGTCACCACTTTTGGAAGCAAAAAAGGGGAATTTTTCACAGGGGAAGGCTGGGTGGGTTTTTCTGGGAGGGTCCCAGGGTTTTGATGGATTTAACTCCAGGTTCCTGGGGGAATGACAGATTTTTTTTTTTTTTAGGATTTTCCTCCTGGAGTCGCCAAATTCAGGAGCAAAAAAGGGGAATTTTTCATAGGGGAAGGCAGGGCTGTGATCAGCGGGGTTTTTGGGAAGGATCCAGGGGTTTTGGTGGATTTGGGGTTTCTGGGAATGTCAGATTTCTTGGGATTTTCCTTGTGGAGTCGCCACTTTTGTATTTTCCCACGGAATGCATTGAGTGGTTTTTTGGGAAGGATCCCAGAATTTTGATGGATTTGGGATGAGGATTTCACTCCAGGTTTCTGGGACTGTCCAATTTCTTGGGATTTTCCTCATAGAGTCACCACTTTTGGATCCCAAAGAGGGGAATTTTCCCACGGAGTGCATTGGCTTTTCATGAAGGATCCTGGAATTCTGATGGATTTAACTGCAGATTCCTGGGGGAATGTCCGATTTTTTAGGATTTTCCTCATGGAGTCACCGCTTTGGGAGCCCAAAGATGGGGAATCTTTCCGTGGGGAGGAGTTTTTTTGGGGTGGGAAGTGAGCTGTGCCTTTGGGGCCGCGGCACTGAAACGTCAGCGGCCGCAGCCGGAGCTGCTGAGAAAGCCCCGAGATGAGAACGGGAGATAAATGCGATGGATCCGATAAATCCGAAAGGTCGCTGCTGACTCCGGAGCTCCGGAACGGTTCTGGTCGGAGAGCTGATGGAAACTTCTGTCACCTGATGGGGCCCCAGCGCCTCGAAGGGTAAAACCACGCAAAGAGCAAAGAGAAAAATCCCCAACGGCCAAAAAAAAGAGAAATCAAGAAAATCCTGATGTGGGGCAAACGGCAGTGCCGGGGGATGGGATCCATGGGATGGGATCCATGGGATGGGATGGGATCCATGGGATGGGATGGGATCCATGGGATGGGACGGGGTTAGCGAAAGTGGGATGGGGATGGGGAAGGTTTGGATGGGGTGGGGAAAGGTAGTGATGGGTTTTAGGGAATGATTGGGATGGGGTTAGGGAAAGGTTCTCAGGAGGAGGTTGGGATGGGTTTTCAGGATGGATGGATGGACACAGGGATGGATGATGGATGGATGGATGATGGATGGATGGATGGATGATGGATGGATGGATGATGGATGGACACAGGGATGGATGATGGATGGATGGATGGATGCTGCATCCATGGATGGATGATAGATGGATGGATGCTGGATCCATGGATCCATGGAGGAAGGGATGGGCTCAGCGTACATTGTATCCTGGTGGTTAAAACCTTGAGGGGGTTATAAATTCATTTGGGAATTTCTAAATTCCTGTTTCTAAAGCCATTAGGAGCAGAAGCACTGGGAGAGTTGGGAATGTTCAGCCTGGAGAAGCTTTGGAGTGACGGAAATGGGCCTGAAGGAGCTGTTGGAAGGATGGAGAGGGAACATTCCCAAGGGCTGGAGTGCCAGGACACAGGGACTGCCCTCACCGGCACAGAGGGGGTTCAGATGGGATATCGGGAAGGAATTCTTGGATGTGAGGGTGGGGAGGGGCTGGGATGGAATTCCCAGGGGATTTATGGCTGCTCCATCCCTGGAGTGCCCCCCTTTAACCCTTCCCAAATCCCATTTGTTTGGGGCCAGCCCTTTCCCCGCCCCAGCTCCAGCTGAGCCCAGAGCTTCTCCCCGCCCCCAGAAAAGCAGGAAGAGCTGGGCCACAAAAACCCCGGTGCCTCCTCGGCAGAGGGGACAGCGTGGGGACAGCGAGGCGGTGGCACTGCCAGGCTGGAGTGGCACCACCAGGACACAGCGGTGACACTGCCGGGACACAGCGGTGACACTGCCGGGATACCACGGTGACACTGCCAGGACACAGCAGTGACACTGCCAGGACACAGCGGTGATACTGCCAGGACACAGCGGTGACACTGCCGGGACACAGCGGTGACACTGCCAGGATACAGCGGTGACACTGCCAGGATACAGCGGTGACACTGCCGGGATACAGCGGTGACACTGCTGGGATACCACGGTGACATTGCCAGGACACAGCAGTGACATTCCCAGGACACGGTGACATTGCCAGGACACAGTGACATTTCCACGCCCCAGCGGTGACATTCCCAGGACACGGTGACATTCCCAGGCCCAGCGGTGGCCGGTGGCCATGGGCTGCGGGTGGCTGTGGCTGCTGCTGGCGCTGCTGGCCGGGCTCTGGGCGCAGCCGGGCCGGGCCGGGCACTGCCAGGACGGGCAGCTGAGGCTGGGCTGGGGCGGCGGCACCAAGTGCTGCCCCAACTGCAGCTGGGAGCTAGGTGAGCCTGGAAACGGGGAAAGTGTGTGGAAAGTGTGTGTAATTGGGGGTAAAGTGTGTGGAAAGTGTGTGTAATGTGTGTGGAAAGTGTGTGTAATTGGGGGTACTTGTGTGTTATTTGGGGTAAATGTGTGTAAAGTGTGTGTAATTGGGGGTAAATGTGTGTAAAGTGTGTGTAAATGGGGGTAAATGTGTGTGTAATTTGGAGTAATGGGGGGTAAATGTGTGTAATTAGGGGTAATTGTATGTAAATTGAGGTAATTGTATGTAAATGGAGGTAAATGTGTAAAGTGTGTGTAATTGCGTGTAAAGTGTGTGGAAATTGGGGGTAATTGTGTGTTATTGGGGTAAATGTGTGTAAAATGTGTAAAGTGTGTGTAATTATGTGTAACTGTGTAAAGTGTGTGTAATTGTGTGTAAAGTGTGTGTAAATGGGGGTAAATGTGTGTCTAATTTGGAGTAATGGGGGGTAAATGTGTGTGAAGTGTGTGTAATTGTGTGTAATTAGGGGTAATTGTATGTAAATGGAGGTAAATGTGTGTAAAGTGTGTGTAATTGTAATTGTGTGTGGAGTGTGTGTAAATGGGGGTAAATGTGTGTGTAAATGTGTGTAAAGTGTGTGTAAATGGGGGTAAATGTGTGTAAAGTGTGTGTAAATTGTGTCTAGTGTGTATAACTGTGGGTAACAGTTCCGGGTAGGGGCTCTCTCTTTCCCCGGGATGGGAGGGAGGATTTTTGGGATCCCTTTGCTCCAGAGCCCCCCCTGAGTCAGCTCCTCAGCCACCCACAGCAGGGTGGAAGCAGCACCTCCCGGCTCTCCCTTTTTCCCAGCCTTTTCCCCATGGGAATGGGAATTGCGGCCTTTAACCCTTTCCTTCCCGCAGGAAACCCCGAGCCCTGCGAGGCAGCGCGAGACCCTGACTGCAAATGTCCCCGAGGCTACAGCTGCGCCGACGAGGCCTGCCAGTTCTGCCGGGAGCTGCCGCGGTGTGAACTGGGATGGGAGCCCAGCAGGAGCGGGAACCTGGGAATGGGAATGGGCTCGGGAGTGGGAATGGGACAGGCCCTGCCAGTGCTGCCGGGAGCTGCCGCGGTGTGAACTGGGATGGGAGCCCAGCAGGAGCGGGAACCTGGGAATGGGAATGGGCTCGGGAGTGGGAATGGGACAGGCCCTGCCAGTTCTGCCGGGAGCTGCCGCGGTGTGAACTGGGATGGGAGCCCAGCAGGATCGGTAACCTGGGAATGGGAATGGGAATGGGAATGGGATCTGGAATGGGAATGGGATCAGGAATGGGATCGGGAATGGGAATGGGATCAGGAATGGGATTGGAAATGGGACAGGGGATGGGAATGGGATCGGGAATGGGAATGGGACAGGCCTTGCCAGTTCTGCTGGGAGCTGCTGCGGTGTGAGCCAGGATGGGAGCCCAGCAGGATCAGTAAAATGGGAATGGTAATGGGATTGGGAATGGGAAAGGGACAGGGGAAGGGGATGGGAATGGGATCGGGAATGGGGATGGGAATGGGAATGGGGCAGGGGAAGGGGAAGGGGATGGGACAGGCCCTGCCAGTTCTGCCGGGAGCTGCAGCGCTGCCAGCCAGGATGGGAGCCCAGCAGGATCAGTAACCTGGGAATGGGATTGGGATCGGGATCGGGAATGGGGGAGGGAATGGGAATGGGACAGGCCCTGCCAGTTCTGCCAGGAGCTGCTGCGGTGTGAGCCGGGATGGGAGCCCAGCAGGATTGGGAATGGGGCAGGGATTGGGAATGGGACTGGGCCAGGCCCTGGCTGTCCCTGTGTGGGCTGTCCCAGAATTTGGGATCCCGCTGATTCCCATCCCTTTTCCCTGCAGGAACAGTGAATTTCCAGTTCGGGTGCAAGCCCTGCCGGAACGGGAGCTATTCCAGCAGCAGGAACAGCTGGTGCCGCAACTGGACTGAGTAGGGATCAATAACCAATAATAGCCATCAATAGCCATCAATAGCCATCAATAACCATCAATAACTAATAATAACCATCAATAACTAATAATAACCATCAATAACTAAAAATAACCATCAATAACCATCAATAACCAATAACGAAACATGAATAAGAAGTAACTGTTCATAATGCTTGTTAAAATAGAAATTTATATAAATATTATATTAAATATTATAAATCTAATAATATAATTAATTATTAACCATTATATCCATATTAAATTTTATAGTATTATTATAATTACATATTTCATAATTAATAATTAACAATATATTAGATATTATGTTAAGTATTTTATACTTATAAAATATATATATTTATATATAAATATAAATATAAAAATATATAAATTTTATATATAAATAAATATATGAATATATAAATTTATACATAAATATATAAATAGAAAAAATAGAATAATAAGGATAAGAATAAGAATGGACTGAGCAGGGGCTTATTGATATTCTCCTTATTTGAAAATAATAATAATAATAATCGGGGTTTTTTATTTCCTCCTTTGAAATTAGGAATAAAAATAAGAACATGATATTAATAGTAATAATAATTATTAATAATAATAACAATAATATAATATCAATTATTATTTAAAGATCAATGAAGATATTCAATACTGACATTAAAAAATCCAATTGAATCCCAGACAATCTTCCTGAGATTAATTTTGATGAATATTTAATTAAGCAAGATCTGGCATCTCGTCTTAGTCTCAAGGCAGAGCTTAAGCCCAACTCCCAGCCTAAACTCGCTGAAAGTCAAGCTTAAGATCCTGGAGAAATTATTCCAGACAGGGAAATCCACGGGAAAAAAGATGGGCACAAACCCAGGTTGGGGAAAAAGCCCAAACTTCCACTGTGCTGCTCCAAGAGGGGGCAAAACCTTGGGAAGAGCGGGTGGGGGGAAGAGAGGGCCAAAGGAAAAGCAGGAATATCCTAAATCCCAAATTCCCATTGTTTTTCCAGCTGTGAGAGCAGCGGGTTCATCATGCTCTGGGCAGGGAACAGCACCCACAACTCTGTGTGCAGCTTACCCGTCAGAGCCCTGGAGCCAGGTGCCAAGAATTCCCGGGGAAAATTCCCTTTCCCTGCTTTCCCACAGCTTCCCGGCCCGGAAATCCTCTTGGAAAACTGCTGCTGTTCCGTAAAAATGGATATTAATATTGGTATTAATTGAGATGGCATTAATTAATTGTTGGCCTGGCAAACATTCCATCCTCAAAGTGCTGTCCATGAAAAAACGTGGAGACAATCCCTGGCCAGGGCACATTTGGGTGGGAATTCATCAATTCCCACTGAGCTGCTCTGGCTCTTTTCCTGCTTTTCTTAGGAAAAATGTCCTTGGGTCCCTCCCAAGTGGTGGCTGAGCCCCCAGCGGCATTCCAGGGTTTTTCCTGGATCAGAGGATGGGAATGGCTGGGGACAGGCTTTGCCCACTTCTCCTGGGAATTGGTGTCTCCCAGGTCTTTCCTTTTCCTTTTCCCTTTCCTTTTCCTTTTTCCCTTTTCTGTTTCATCTTCCTCTTCCCTTTCCCTTCCTTTCCCATTTCCTCTTCCCTCTCCCCTCTTTTTTCCTTTTCTGCTTTCCCTTCCATCTTCCCTTTCCTCTTCTTCATCCCATTTCCTCTTTCCTTTTCCTTTTCCTCCTTTTCCTCCTTCTCCTTTTTTCCCTTTCCCTTTTCCCTCCTTCCTTTTCCCCTATTCCCACCCCATTCTGCGATTCCCTTTCCCCCTATTCCCACCCCATCCCACAATTTCCTTTCCCCCTATTCCCACCCCATTCCGTGATTTCCTTTCCCCCTCACCTCGGAGCTTCTCCCCCCTTCCCCCTTTCCCACAGAGTCCCTAAATCAATCCCTAAACATCCTTGGAAAATCTCCCTCCCCTTGAACACAATCCAGTCCCAGAATTCCTGAATTTTTAATGGAATCGCGTTGACTGCAGCTCGGATTCCCCTGGAATTCTCCTCCGGCTCTGTCCTGGCTGTCCTGGCGGCCGCGGCCGTGTTCGTGCTGGTCCTGCTCACGGTCCTGCTGCACTTCTGCATCTGGAGCCTTCGGCGGGACAAAACATTCCCAGCCGGAGGTGAGCGATCTCCGGAGCGCCCGCATGGGATCAAAGGATGGAATTAGAGGGATAAATCTGGATTTCCTCTGGAATTTGGGGCAGATTCCTGGAATTGCTGGTGATCCAGGACAACATTCCTGACCCAGGGCAGGGTGGATGGGATTTTGGGATGGAATTCCTGCCTGGGAGGGTGGGAAGGCCCTGGCACAGGTTGGCCCCTGGATCCCTGGAATTGTCCTTGGAGCACCCCGGGATAGCAGGAAATGTCCCTGCCCATGGATGGGATGGAACGGGATCATCCCAAATCCCTTCCAACCCATCCCATTCCAGAATTCCCTGATCCTGCAACAAAAAATTCCCAGCTGGAGGTGGGGGAATCTCTGGGAGTTCCAGCAGGGATAAAGGGAGTGGAATTGGAGGGATAAATCGGGATTTCCTCTGGGATTTGGGGCAGGGTCCTGGAATCACCGATCATCCAGGCCAATGCTCCAAACAAAAGGGAGGGTTTGATGGAATTTTGGGATGGAATTCCTGGCTGGGACAGTGGGAAGGCCCTGGAATGGCTTCCCCAGAGAAGCTCTGTCTGCCCCTGGATCCCTGGAATTGTCCATGGGGTAGCGGGAAATGTCCCTGCCCACAGATGGGATCATCCCAAAATCCCTTCCAACCCATCCCATTCCATAATTCCCTGATCCCACAACCCGGCAAAGGGGCTGGGCAGCCTGATGGGAGTTTCTGGAATTCCTGGACGAGCTTTTTCCTCATTCCCACCGCAGATCCGGGACACAACTTCCCGCAGGCGTCGCCGCAGCTCCCGCTCCAAGGGGAGGAATCCCACAGCATCCAATTCCCAGAGGAGGAGCATGGGGACAAAACGGCTGAGGAAAAACTTTCCATCCTCTCCCTGAAAATCTACAGCGAGCTCAGCTAACGGATCCCTCCCAGGATCACCGGGAATGCAGGGCTGAGCCGGGCTTCCCAAAAAACCAAAAAAAAAGCGGGAATGGGATGGGGTGTGAAGCATCGCTTCTCTGTAGGAAAAGGAGTGGATTTAGGGCAAGTTTGGCTTTGTTTTTCCCAAAAAAATGGGAATTTAGGGATAAAATCCCTCTGATTCAGGCTGGTGTTGATTCAGGAGATCAGTGGGATTTCCTGGGATATCCCGATTTCCAGGATTGGGAATAGCGGCCACGTCTCATGGTTTTCCCTCATCTTTCCTGATTGTTCATTCCCAACCTCATTCCAGTCTCTCCCAATCCCATTCCCGCTCCCACCCAAAGATTCCCTTGGGAAGCTCCTGCTGTGCTGCCAGGGATTTTCCTGTGCAGGTTCTTCCAAGGAAAATCGGGAAAAGGGGGAGTGAAGCTCATGCAGGGAATGGTCAGAGCTCCAGAAAAATGGAGGGAATGGGAAAAAATCCTGGAAAAAGCTCTCAAGTGGGATTTTGGGATTTCTGATCCCTGTGGGACCCTTCCCACTTAGGATATTCCATGATTTTATGATGAATTCCAGCAGGTTTTGGAAGTTTTTGAGATGCCGACATCTGTATCAATAATTATGGATCATTAGGGTTAATTAGGGATAATTCAGGATGAGTTTCTCATGTCTTTGGTGGTTATTCAGTGGCAATCCATGGAAATTCCTGGGATTTCAGAGGGTTTCAATATGTGCACATGGATTAAAACTCTCCTGGATGATCCTTGGATTTTGGATCAACTCCAGAGAGCCCGGCTGGGAAATCTGGGAATGTTCCCCTGGAGCAGGATTGGGATAAGGGATGGAGGGACAGGACAATGGGAACGGCTTCCCACTGGAAAAGGGCGGGGTTGGATCGGAAATCCGGGAAAAATCCCTCCCTGGGAGATTCCAGAAGTTCCCGGGGAGTTCCAGCAGGTGCTGCTGTTTCCCTGGATTTGGGGTTGGGATCACAGCTGGGAATTCCTGCAGGAACAAAGACCCCAAAAGCTGGGCTGGGAAGTTTCAGATTCCCTGGGAAAATCTGGGAAATTCCAAAGAAAAACTCGGGAAATTCCAAAGGAAAACTCCTTTTAGTAAAGTTTTTTTTTGCTTTTGGGATTTGGATTTTCTTTGGCTTTCACCTCCAGCGTCATTCCCAAATTATCCCGAGGAAACTGAGCCTTCTCCCCTTTGGAATTTTATCCCAGTCCTGGAGAGGATGGAGCCATCCTGGAAAACCTGGCTAAGGAAAAAATCCCATTTTTGGGGCTGGAATTCAAATTCCTCCCTCCAGGAGAAGAGGATCCGGATATGGGAATGGGAACAAGGTCCAAACAAAAGCCCCAAAATTCCATCCAAACCCCGGCTTTGTTTTCCCCTTTTCCCAACCCTTTGGAAGCCGAGCGGCAGCAGAGGGAGCTCCTGGAAAAGCGAATTCCAGAGGGAACAGCCAGAGAGGGGAGGGAATTCAAGACTGACCAATATTTCCTGGATAATTCCCTGGATTTGTGCTGGACTTTTCCCACATTTCCTGCCCGTCCCGCACCTGCTCCACTCTGCTCTGGAATCGAGGAATAAAGGAGAGGGATTTGGGAATCCTCTGGGTCAGGAATTAATGATTTGGATGCTTTAAAATTCAGTTTTGTCCTTAAAAATTCTGCTTCCTGTAAACTGGGGGGGAAGGGGAAAGGAAAAGGGAAAAAGGGGGGAAAGGGGAAAGAAAGGGGCAGAGAAAATGGGGGGAAAGGGGGAAAAGGGGGAAGGTGCGGGAAGGTGCGGGAAGGGAAGGTGCGGGAAGGGAAGGTGCGGGAAGGGAAGGGAAGGGAAGGGAAGGGAAGGTGCGGGAAGGGAAGGGAAGGTGCGGGAAGGGAAGGGAAGGTGCGGGAAGGGAAGGGAAGGGAAGGTAAGGTGCGGGAAGGGAAGGGAAGGTGCGGGAAGGGAAGGTGCGGGAAGGGAAGGGAAGGGAAAAGGGGGGAGAAAGGGGGGGAAGGGAAAAAAGGGGAAGAAAAAATGGGGGAAGGGGGAAAAAGGAAAAAGGGGGAAAAGGGACAGGAAGGAAGAGGAAAAAGGGAAGAGGAAAAGGAAAAAGGAAAAGGATCCTCCATCCCCCTCTTCATTCCAGAGCCGTTCAGGTCCTGCAGGGTTTTCCAGGACTCCGGAATGTTGGGATTGGGTGCAGAATCCCCAATTCCCGGGGTTCGGGGGCTCTTTCCAAAGCCCTGGGGTCCATGGGCAGGGTTTGTCCCGCGCCCCTCTCCGAGCTCAGAGAATTCCCGGAGTTTTCCAGAGCTTTTCCCTCCTGTTTGCGGTCGATGGGATCTTCCATGAGCAGAATTCCAAGAGCTCAAATCCCACTGGAATTTGTCCAGGCCCCAGCCCAGAGCATGGGAGGGAATTTGATCCCTGTGGAGCCTCGGTTAAAAATGGCACAAAGCCACTTTTATTGTTATTAGAATATTATTATTAGAATATGCATTAGAATATTATTATTATCTATTTATAGTAAATATTTATATACATTACTGTTACTATTATTATTAAATATTATTTAATTTATTACATTACTATATATTATAAATCATAGTTTAATTTATTATAGTTTATTATTTTATATAATATATATTAGATCTATTTTTACATTTTTAATATATTTTTATATACTTTATACATTTGTTTATATAAGATACATTTATTTATATTAGGTATCTTTTATATATTTATATATAAAATGTATGCTTATTTTTATTATACATATTATATATAATCTATATATAGATATAGTCTATATATACATAGATTATTTGCATTTTTAGATATAGATTATACATAATATATTTATATATATTATATTTATTTATATTATATGTGTATTTATATAATATATTATATATATTTTTTATATTTTATATTTTTATTTATATTAGATATATTTATTTAGGTTATATATATTTTATATATTTATATATAAAGTATATATATATATAGATTACATCTATCTTATATATTTATATATTTATATATTTTTATACGTTTATATATTTTATATATAAAATATATACTTAGTTATATTAGATATATATTTATATTACATATATTATATCTATTATCATATATTAGTATGATTTTAATTAACTAATTAAGCATAGATGATAAGTAAATAATTTATAGCAAATAATTATTTTATTATTTTATATTTTATTATTTATTGGTTTTTATTTTAAATCTGTTTTATCCCTTGGGAGCCCGGGGGACACTGAGGGGACCCTTGGGACAAGAGGGGACACTGAGGGGACACTGAGGGGACACTGTGACCCCAGGGGACACTTTGGGACCCTTTGTGACCCCAGGGGACAATGAGGGGACACTGAGGGGACCCTGTGTGACCCCAGGGGACACTGGACAGGCTGAGGGGACCCTTTGGGACCCCGGAGGACATTGGGGACATCCCGGGGGGCCCCAGTCCAGCGGGAATCCGGAGGCGCTGCAGGGATTTTCCCGGCCCTGCCGGAATTCTTGCCCCAAACGCCTCCAGTTAATGTCAAAATTCCTCAGTTCTGAGAACATCAAGGATCTGGGGGCTTTTCCTCCTCATTTTTGCCACGAAAAAAGTGCCTCAAATCCCCCTGATGAATTCCAGCTGTGAAAGTCCAGGAATTCTTCTGCTACAGGGAATTTTTCCTGCGATTTGTGCCCCGCTAAAAACGACTTAAATTTCTAAAATGAATATAAAACTCCATTAATTCTCCTGATAAAAATCAAGGATTTGGGTTTTTTCTCCAACAGAAAAGTGCCCAAAACCCTTCCAGTGAGTTCCAGCTGTGAAACTCCAGGAATTCTTCCTCTAATGGGAATTTTTCCCGGGATTTGTGGCTGCAGAGGTCGCGCCCGTGCGATTGACGGCATTACCAGACAGTATTAGACAGAAATATCCAGATCTAACTTTGCCTGGTAAGACAGCAATCAGCAGGCTCCAGGAAATCCCTTTTTTTTCCACATCCAGCATTGGAAAATGATTCCAAGGAAAAGGCTCTCCTTAGCCCCAGCAATTCCCAGGAAATCTTGAACTCGTCCTGCTTGATTTGAGACAGGGAAATGATGAAAATTCCGCTTTTTCTGCTTGGCTGGGGAATGAATTGGAAATGGTTTAAGGACTTACCAGGTGTGGAATCCCTCTGGAGCAGCTCCCGGGAAATTCGGGATGCCCCTCATCCACAAATTCCCATTGCTGAGGGAAAATTTTTAGGATTCGGCCCCAAAAAGCTCCTAAAGCACCCAAAATCCAGGGCTGGTGGTGAAGTGGATTTAAGGAAGGAGGAAATCAGTAGGAAAAGGGAGGGAAGTGAAGGAAAAGGGAATTTTCCTGGGTTTTTCCTGGCTCTGGCATGGTTTTTCTCACAGCTCCACCACCAGGAGAGCGGGATTTTCCCATTGGAGTGATCTTTTTTTTATCGGGATTGATTTCCCCAATTCCACCCCAATTCCAGGCTCAAGGAGGGGATGGATGGGAGTGGGAGCGGGCCCGATCCCAGGGATTTACAGCCTCGTTAAAATCCCATTTCCAGGATTCCTCCCTCATTTCCTCTGGGCCTCCCGGAGCAGTTACTCATTAATGCCGTGCCTTAATTAATCACCCCTCTGCTTCCTCCTCCGCTGCTTTTCCTGGGAATTTCAACCTGCAAGGGCAAACTGAGCTCGTTCCAGGGGGTCCAGTTTGGATTTAGGGCAGCTCCTCCCAAGCTCTCCACGTTGAAATGGGAATAATTTGAATTATGAAACAATTAATTTAATTTTTCCCTGATTTTCCTGTGTTATCCACGAATTTTGGCAAGGAATCTTAGGCCTGGTTTAGTGCAAAGCAGGGAAAAAGGGATTTCAAGTTTTCTAGGGATGAAGGAAGAGAATTCCAGACTTTGGGTTGGAGGGAATTTTAAAATCATTTCATTCCAAGCATTTTTGTGTCGCTAGACCAGGTTTAATTTGGAATTCAGAGTGAGGGAAGGGATTAACTCCAGGAAAAACCTCGTGGGACTGGGATTGAATCCCAAATGAAATCCTTGGAATCCCACAGAAAGCTGACGAATGTGTGGAACTGCCTTGGCTGGCCCAGAAAGGAGCTGAAATCTGGGATTGGGAGGAATTCCAGGATGGGAAGGGGGAATCGGGAGGAATTTCCTGGAAGTGCCCATGGAATTGCTGTGTGTGGAACTCAGGGACAAGGTGGGGATTGAGCATTCCTTGGATTTCAATTCCAGCCAAAATGATCCCAGGATTCTGGGATTCCTTGGGTGAGGATGGACTTTAACTCAGGAATTCTCATTCCTGAGGGATAAATGGAGGTGGAAATCCGGAATTTGGGGGATCCTGACCCTTAGTTAGGGCCCAAGTTAGGCCCGGCTTTAGCTGTGGGACCCCAGACCCTGCCTGAGGAGCCAGATCCTTCCTGCAGCTCCAGCAGAAATTTGGGATTTTTCCCTTAAGCCGGGCTCAAATTTGCTGGAATTGCTGTGGGATGAGGTGTTCTCTGCTACCTCAGCAACAGATTTAATGGGAATTTTATTCCATTGGAGAGAAGAGGAATTTCCTTTGGGAATTCCAGCTTCCAACATGAATTTTATCCATTCTCCACGAGCTCCTGCTCACTTGGGATGAATTCCTGGAGCTCTGAATGCTTCTCCAGCTGCCTGGAGCTTTTGGGAGCAGTTTCCTGGCTGGAATTCCTGGTTTTCCTACGGAATTCCTCAGGGTAGTGAGTCCCACCTGGAACAAGGCAGGGTGGAAAAGTTGGAAGTTCAGGAGCCGCTCAACCACGGGGCTTTCATTGAGAAATTGGGAAAAACGGCCTTTGGGATTGGGAAAAATGACCTTTCCAACCTGGATCCTGCCCTGAACCACCTTCCACAGGCAGGAATGACAAAATTCCAAGGAAATCTCAGTGTCCCAAGTTGTGCAAACCAAATTGGAGGAGGAAAAACCTGGATTTGGGATGTTAGACCTGACCGAACACCCGGCAGCACCTCTGGAGCGCTTCCATCACATTTCCATTTCAATTGCATTTTTCCATGGCTAAACCCCTCCCCGTTTTCCCAAAATCCATCCTTACCCTGTGGAAAAGTTCCGGTCTGGCTGGAATTTTGGGCCAGGAGTGGTTTGGATCACCCTTTAAACATCGTTACCAGACAGTGTTAGAGTAGAGGCAGAAAATCCAGCACTGTCTAGTAAGATGCCCACAGAGGACCAGCGCGTCTGGCGGCTGCGGGAATCGAGAATTCCACCTTCTTCGGGAGGCCAGAATTCCAGGAAAACCCAAGGAACGGCTTTATTTCATCGGCAATGTGGGAACAAGGAAGAGGGGCTGGCAGTGAGGGAGGGTTTGAAGTCGCGGCGGGTTTTGGGAGGGAAAAGAGCACAAACAGGGATTGAATCCAGGTTTGAAACAGAAGCAGGGGGTTAAGCCTGGTTTAAAAGATAAACCTGATTTAAGACAGATCTAAAATAGAAAATGAGGTTCAATCTGATACAGATCCAAAAGGGAAAGAGGAGGTTAAACCTGGTTTAATACGTGTTTAAAATGGAAACAGGGTGTTAAGCCTGGTTTA